TATGAGCGATTTGCCAAATGGGTCGTTGACCGGCGTTTCTCGATCCTAACAGTCAGCCATTCTTAAGTATTCAGAGTATTTACAAAGGTGAAGACATTTCAAAAAACAGAGAGAGTGATATTTTGTTTGCGTTTGTTTTCCATGGTTACTGCTTGGTGGAGAGTATTCACTTAACAGCAACGCTCGAACAAGACGTTTCCAGAATGTTCGGGCACCAGAATATAATTGAAAAAAAACGTGGCTATCTGCAAGTTTCAGTCATGAGCGTTCATTTGAACACTTCAGTAGCTATCGTCAGAGCAGCCAACGAAAAGCGTTCACATATTGATCTTGTTTCTCAAAGTAGCTTCGTCATTGTTTGCGCAACTTAAAAATTTAGCCTGACATTTTTACGTCTGTTGTTTATAATCCGTGTCAATCTTCTCCATCCCTAACTATCACTGTTGCTCAACGGTATCTCTTTCGTGTTTTTCTATCTTAGTAAAATGCTATTTTTAGGTTTTCTTTCAATTTATAGATACATTTGTAAGTGGCCAAAAGAACTCAGATTACGGTGACTGATGAGCTCCCTTACTGCTTACCCTCTGTTGAAAGGTAAGTTGATTGTCGGGCCCATGTTTGAACCAGATGGTGCACACGATTCTGGAATACAACCCAGCCATCAGTACTATGGCTGCAATTACGATGGCTGTCCAGTACAAAATATAAACTTTCTGTATCCATTCTTCACTCAACGTACAGGCATTGTCCTTTACGTTTAAGACTAGAAACAGTGGTATGTTGACTATCAATGCGAAGATCCATGAACCAGGAATGATCACCTGAAACAGCGAAACGTAAAACGTTAACATAGCAACGCAAATACTATTTTAAACCTGTTCCGTTAACGCTTCTTTTAGGGATGCTTTTCAAGGAGTAGCAATACGCATCACACTGGTGATGAGTTAGATCAGTAGACATGGTTTGAAAGCTTTCTTTGTAACTCTATAGTTGACAGTTATTCCCCGTAATACTGGTCGAGGTTGCTAGTGGTTAATTTTCGCCGAGCCGGCGACATTTCATCAAAAGGAATTGTAAAGTATTCTTGCTTTTGAACCCACGCCGGGGATAGCCATTCACTCATTCAGAATGCGTGAAAAAAAGAAACAAAAAACAATGCACTGGTTTGGTATATGCTAATAGTACTAATTGAACTTTGTCAGTGACTCACCTTCAGTTTACGCTTGGTAAGTTTGCCCATGCTACCAGCAGGGTAGATTACCGCAAAATATCGTTTAGCGGCAATTGCAACCAAAGTGACTACTGAGGAGATTCCAGCAATCCATGCGAGGCAGCCACCCGTCACCGATTTGCATAAAACTGTACCAATTGTTCCCCCTGGGTGGGTGGGAGTGATCTTAAAGAAAGTCTGTGGTGTTACAAAGGTCGCATACATGGCATCCGCTACAGCCAGGTTCACAAGTAAATAGTTGATGGGAGTCCTGTGGAATATCATAAATCGAGAGATGATGAAGGGTGAGATAATTAATTCTTCTAATAGAACTCATTACAAAGGTAATCCCTATTAAATTATTTTTAGACCATTTCAGGCTTCGGAAACCTCAGGAGGGCCTAGAGAGAAGCACTGCCGTCACCTGGACGGCACACGCAGCTTCTCATTAATTGTCATCCTCCACGAAAACATCCATGTTACGCGCGTAGTGACATTATTCAGAATTAGGTTCCATGTCTAAAAATAACTTGAGAGAGATTACCTTAAGAATAAGGCCTTTATGAAGGACTTACGCTCTTACACTTTATCCTCTCTTGAATAACTTCAAATGGCTGAACTAGATTGGAGCATGGTAATATTATCTACATCTGCGAACATACAAGAACTGTCGGCATTAGAAATATTGCTTGGAGTGTAAATGCTCCAATGGACTTTCGTCTTAACGGAAAACCAGTTTTAAACGTTCCGAAGTCGCTGTTACGTTGTTAAGTTAAAAAAAAGTTTATAATTTAAAACGGTTGAGGTACCTGAGTTAGAATTCTCGTACTCCGATATAAGTTGGAATACCTGAACTTATAATTGAAGAACTTTCAAAAAATTTAATCTCATTATAATTCTCTTAAACGTTCTTCCATGCTCACATCAGGCTATGTAAATCTCAAGCTAACCATTTTCTATTTCACTGTCATATAAAGTTGTTGTGTAAGCCTTTAGTAGTGTTTAAAACTGGCTGTGACAGTTTAGTTATTTTAGTTTTGACATACCTCATGTCTCGATGTTTCTTTATGATCACACAAACGAGACAATTTCCAACGATGTCAACGATGACAAGTACGGAGTGTACCGTCGCTATGGCAATGCCAGATGTTTGAAGCATGACTGAACGTTGTTGATGATGTTACACAGTCGCGAGGCCCTCTACGTTTAATAAAGAGAAAAGGGAGAATGAATTCCTGACAGCTTAGATATTCACTGGTTTAATGTGAGAAGTAGTAAAAGTGGAGAGGAAGCATCATACTTTCATCATTCGCCACCTTAAGTTTATGGTTTGATAATTTTCTAACCACGTAATTTAGTAAAGAGGCACATCAGTTTTATGAAGTACACTACATTGGTTTTGTGTCAGTTACAGGGGCCCACGTGTTGCAAAATGTATGCAGGCGTTTTCTGAGGGAGCGCGAATTATCGATATTAGCTTAGCTAGCGATTGAGTGGATTTGCCGCCATGTTGCATTGTCTCAGTGTTACTCCCTATGGCGTTTTTCTCTTCTGAAGCCCAAAACAAAATGGCGCTCGCCTGATCAAAATGCGCTCCCTAAAGTCTGAGCCCGTTTATAACAAGCGACTAGTATGTGATAAAAATCAACCACTAACGTAATATCTATCATTGATGAAGTAAAATTTTTAACCACTGTTCTTACACTGAGTAGGCATCAAAAGCCAACGACAGAATTATAAAGAGAAGCTATCTTGAAAATTCGGCTAAATTCCTCTTTTTGTGTTTCTAAAACTACAGACAGTCTTACCATTTGAAACATACCAAAATTGTCCACCTGGCAGGGAAATGAAAAAACAACAAACAAACAAATAGAAACACACACACATATATACGGGAAAAAAATGAGAAAAAACAAAGGGAAAAACAAACAAACAAACATAAACAACAACGACAACGAAAAAAGGTCCTCTAAGTAGCAAATTTTATCGAGCGCCCATAAAAAAAATTAAAGGGTCAATTTTTTTGGAATTTTTTTGTGCCCCTTGGTTAGGCCATACATAACAATGACCATGATAAATAATTGTTACAAATTTATACTTTATTCAGGGCTGTTCTAAAGTATGATGGTGTTAACGACAAATAACGTCATTTTAAACAATAGACTGACCATGTACTGCAGACATTTTGATAATGTGGATCGAAAACGTGAACTATCATTCAAAACCTAATTTACAACACCAACTACTCACAGAGTAGATTGACTACTGACTTCTATTTTTCGTAGAGGAAAATTAACTGTTTTATTTGTCTTCCGTCATTGTAATTACAATGGGCGAATCAGGAAGAGGAATAGTAACAGAATGGAATATGTTCCCTTTGTTTTGCTTTCTTACTTGGCTTCACACTAGAGCTTGTAAGTATAATCTAAGTGCACTTGGAACATACTTTGGGTGTGAATGCGTAAAATGTCCTTACTTGGACTTTACTTAGTGACCATGGAAACGTTCGTAGTTCAAAGAAGCCGAAGTGCGCCGCCAAGTATGATGTACGCCACACTTGAGAACGCGCTTGACCAATGGGAAAGAGAAGCCAACTGAAAGCGATGTACAGCGTGGCTACAATTCTGATGAACGAACAGACGACCAACTTGTACGTTCAATTTCATTTTCATAGACAGCCTAAACCATCGCTTTTCGTATCACCCGACGCCAAATGCGCCTCTGCAAATTGCAAACCAGCTACTGTTTGAAGTTTCAAAGAGGTCATTTCTTTGCACCTGAACAACTCGGTTGACCATCGGACGAGTCACACGGAAATGCATTTTCCCTAGCGCATCCATGTCTCGGTTAGCTAAAGCCCTACAGCTATTTTTTGCCGAAAACCGCGTTGTTGAGCCGTTCTAGAGAAATACAGAAGATACCGTTTGTTCCTTTGTGTTGCTTTGATATGATCTTTAGCAACAAAGCAATTATATGCATATCTTCACGATTTTCCTGCCGAACAATCGCATTTCTGATATGCATGTCTGATTTTACAGCGAAAATGCTTCAATTAATATATTTTGTCATCAGTTGTGTAGCCAAGTGTTCACGAACGAATTTTAAATTGTGCCGATTAAGAAGTTTGCCAATATTTTCAGTGAATCCTGCCTTGGCTGAGTTGAGGATAAATACTTATTTATTAACTTCAATTTGATGTGAGTAAATTATCGTCAGAGCAAAGTAATATATTTCCTTAGCCGGTCTTAGTCCAGGGCCGGGTGCTTTTACTACTGTGTTGTGTAGCATGTGCAGTTTACTGTCATAGTCAATTCTTTCAGATCATCACTCAAATGCTCATATTGATAATATTGAGCGCGGTCTCTAGCTACAAAGGTATTGCCCTTATAGATCACATTTCTGACTACAAAATACGAAAACTGTTCAGAATGTTGGGCGGAAAATGCAAGAAAATCTATTGAGCAGGACGAAAATGTCGACGAAAGTGTTGGAAAGACAAAAGTTTTAGCTACGAATGAAATCGTTCAGTTTGCATGCTAAATTGGTTTCACTCAAACAAATGCAATGAAAATATAATGATTAACCATTTGGTTGTTTGATTGTTCTGCACGCATGTCAAGAATCTCGTATTTCTCACCTTTACAAGCCGCTGCGATCACTTTGTTTTTGGCTTTCGCTGACGACATGATGAGTTGGTCTAAAATGATATCAAGAGTGATATTTTGCCTGATCTACAGGAAACACCATTTCTGTGTTAGCTATAAAAGACCGCCATGAAAAAAGTCGAGTAACAAAAAATACATATATTATCCTTTCGGTCATTTAGGAAAAAAAAAAAAAAAAAACAAGAACAGTTGTGAATATTTGCCCGCTATCGAGCGCTTCAGGGTTTTAATGGCGGTGATAAATATTTCCTGCTGCTGGTGTTCTAACAGCTTTTCTAGTCCTCCCAAACCTCTAAAAATGTACAGGAGATTTCTACAACGCGATAGAAAAGCGAAGACAGTTTTTGCTGTTTCTTTTAGGAAACACTGGAGCAAAAAGAAAAGAAGTCACTCGTTCATTTTGATTCTCTAAGTTTCAATCAACTCTTTGCTCGCTTCATGCTTATGTCAACAGCTCTGGCCGGTACCTTCAGTTGTGTTTCCGTAGATTTCTAGAAGTACAGCTTTAAGCGACCGTGTTCTTACTGGATGTTTTTTTTATTGTTTTATGTTATACGATTTTTATTTGATTGAATATTATTATTGAAGTCTTGTTTTAGCAATTCTTTTGGATCAATGTTTTCATACCATTCTAAAAAACCTATTTAATACAATATGCAGACAATACCGAGAAACGTTTGCTAAAGTTAAGATATTCTAAAAACCATTATTTACAATATCTGGAAACTTGGAAATAATAATGAAAAATCATTCGTGTTAGTGATAATTCTTACCTTACAAACGCTTAACGGGCGGAAAATTGCAGCAGAAGTGCAACGTTAATTTTGGTACACAGGCCAAAAACCCGGTATTACTGCATGAGGGCATCGGAAGAGTGGATTATGCAAGACAGCAGTTCTCTAATCATCATATCATTTTCATACCACTTGGACCATGTGCTCACCACCCGGTACATGTTTATGTTATTTAAAAAGTTATCATGACAGCCAGATAATGTCCAAAGACAAATTAAATATCCGAGCATTTTGTTTTGGAAGTCAAATGGAGGTTGGTTGTCAGTTTCGCTTGCTGATTTTGGTTAAACTACTTGCACTTTCTTTACTCGTAAATAAATAACCGTTTACCGGAACCTACCTCTACAATACGTCTGAAATTTATGTAACTTTAGAAATTTAAACGTCAAAATGTTGCTTAGGCAAGGAAAATTTATGTAACTCTAACATGAGAATGCCGACAGCTTTCAATGTTGCTGTCATTTTTAAGATAACTACTCAAATAAAGCCCTCTCCACACTACGCCGGAGGAATTTAAAAACGCAACAATCACGGGTCATTTTGGATTTGTGTTTGAGGAAAATTCCAGCACGGAAATCACATGATTATCGTGACGTCATCGTTTTCGAAAAGCTCCGTTTTGAAAATGTTTTCCGTCCAAACTAAAACGTAAGGCCAGCGTTTTCAAATTACTCTGGTTTAAAGAATGTTTACGAAAGGGTACGTTTTCGTGACGGATTACTGTGGACGAAAGGCCTAACCGTAGATTGAAATAAAGCTGCGTTTTCAATTATCTCCGATATAGTGTGGACGGAGCCTAACATAACGTACAACAGATGGTGAGCATATGGTCTAAGTTGTATAAAAATTATACAATGATAAGTAAACCGCTATCTTTCCAAATCCATTTCTTCCCATGTTATCAGTGATATCAGGTTTTTGGGTTGAATTAAAGTTCAACGTCTCCGATTCTCCGTCCGTTAAGCGTTTCTTAAGGTAAGATATCAGTTTTCATTTTTATTTCCAAGTTTCCAGATATTGTAACAACACTTTTTAAAATATCAGAAATTTAACAAAAGTTGTTCGGTATTATTTGCATATTATATTAATGTCATTATGTTCAAATTCTCGATATCCAATTTTTACATTTTCTTACACAATAGGTCTTTATTTCCTACGTATCTTGCCAAATTTTAATATATTACGAACATTAGAACTCACGTTTTCTTGGACCTTTAGTTCCGAAAATCTATGGCCACAATTAATTTTTCTTGTTCCAACTTAATTTTGATTGAGAATTTGAGAAAATGACGTCATTTTCTCAAAAATACCACACAAGCAAAGTAAAGCGATCGCAGCACCTTGTAAATGTGAGAAATACGAGATCTGTGATAATGATGCGCGCCGAAGAATATTCAAACCGGCAAACAAGTTTCTTTATTCATCGCATTTATTGCGAAACCAGTTTAACCTGAAAACTTAACAAAGCTTTCATTCATTACTAAAAGCTTTGTCTCCCCATCACTTTCTTCAACAAGTTTGTTTTTAGATATTCGTTGAATACTTCATTGGCTTGTTCAATAGCTTTTGTTTCATTTTCCGCGTCAATATTGGCCAACATCATCTATATTATCCGTATTTCGTAGACAGAAATGATGCGATGGCGCTGGTTGGTGACTACTAAATATCCAGAGTTATCATTCATTAAGTGTTTTTGCTCGCTCACGATTGGTCTAAACGTGTCACGGACTGAAACTGGGGAGTTTCCGAGAAAATTCAAAACCATGTTTAACGACTGGCCCTAAGGAAAACAGTAAGTTTTAACACGACGTTATTTGTCGTTAACAGCATCGTATTTTCGAACAGCTCTAAATATTAAAAACATAAACTTCTAACACTAACATCATATTCAATTATTATACATGACCTAAGCAGAGGGTACAATAAATTCCAAATAAATTGACCCAACAATTTTTTTTTAAGCACCTCTGGTTTTAAATTGCATTTTTCATCGCCTACGTAAAGTTTCCTTTACATAGTTTGTCAGGGGCGTAGCTAGGATTTTTCAAGAAAGGTGGGGGGGAGAGGTTACACTACGTCAAAGTGGGGGTGCTCACCAGATTGCCATGTCGTTTTCGCCACCTGTTTTAGGTTGTTTGCTGAGAAAAGGCTTACAAAATGGGGGTCACGGCAACCCAAGACTCTCCTAGCTACGCCTCTGCTTATGAAGATGATCTCTGAAATTATCTGAACTGTGCAACTGGCAAAAAGC